CTTCAATTGTGGGCATCTACAAACATTTTCCATCTTAAGAAAAGTCAGAAAAAGCAACTAACAGAAAAATAAAATTGCTGAACTATAGATCTTAGAGTCATCCAAGGTACATGAACTTTTTAAAGAGACTGTGGGACATGGAATGTTAATGATTTTCATTGTCAGGGAACTTCCTAAACTTTTGTCTGAATGCCTCATGCATCACTTGAAGCTCATTTCCTCTCATTGAACAGAGGCAGGACAGCTGGCCAGCAGCTTCCATCTGTGCTGTCTTCAGTCTTCTCTAACTATGTTACGGAACACCCTTCTGAAATGGGAGAAGGCCAATTTGAAACAAAAGTGAAAACTCTCAAACACACACACACACACACACACACACACACACAAAATCCAAAACAACTAACAAAAACTTTGTGGGGAACAGCATTTTAAACTGAACTTTGAATAGGCCTATAGATTAGGTCAAGGGATGGGCCAAAATACTGAAGCGCTGTCCCTTGAATAATTCAGATTAATTCTTAAATAGTATTACAGGGTCATAAAACACCAGGCTTGGAAATTAAAGATGTTTAGGTCTCATCAAAAAGTCTTTGAATGTAACTCTCTGGCATGTTGCCAAAAGGGCAGCTCTTTGGGGGAAAACCCTATGCCAAAGGCCAAAGAGGCAGCTGTGTTATTCAGCTCCTGAGAGCTTCCAACTCAACACCCACACAAGCTCAATTATGAGCAAATTAAAGGGATCCAGACTGAACATAGTAATTCTGGTAATTTAAATAAATAGAGGAAAGTCTACAATTAGTAGGAAAAGATTGATTTTCTGGAAAACCCAGAAAATGACACCCTAACCCCTCTGAATAAGCATAGTTACATCCAATTATTTAAAAATAAATTTCCTTCTATTCATCATTTTAATCATTTCTGATCCGTCTTAAGGTGGCCACATGCATGCCAGCAAAAGTATTCACAATATTGAGGCAGAATAACCTAAAAAAAAATCTATAATAGATATATAGGAATTAATGACACTGAATCAAATTGTAAGTTTTATACCTACATTTTAGAGAACATAGATAATATACTATTCATTTCTACCTTTTTTTGAGTACAGAGAAAATTTGAGGGTTATTCAGAAAGAACAAAGACTGAATATTGTGGAATCTATTACCAAAACTCACTATATTAATAAAGGACAAAATACACAGAATGGTCATTCTGTATAGATCCTTAAAACTTACTTAAAAAAATTCAGCATCCATTACTAATTAAACACAATAAGCAAGTAAACTTTTTAAGAAGCTAGGAATACAAGGACATTTATGTAGTAACTTGATAAAAACATTTCTTCTATTAAGAACCATCAATGAAGTCATAATTAATGGACACATGCATGTGTGTGCACACACACAGTGGAAGCATTCTTGTTTAATCTTTAAATTCATTTTGATGAGCTGACCTAAAGTTCATACAGGAGTAAATGTATATGAAGAGCCAGAGTGATTTTACAAAAGAAGAAAAATCAGAGGAAGTGTTTCCTATAAGTTATCAAAATACACTGTAATAGCATGATAATATAAATAGGGTGACATTGGCATGGAAGAGACAAATATATCAACAGAATTTGTCTAGAAATTGACCCATGTACGTAAGGAAATTTAGTATTCAATGTTATTGCATTCTGCTTCAATGGGGAAAGGATATAAAAGTCAAGAAATGTTCTTAATAATTTGCCTATTATCGTGAATAAACATTTTTCCACCTCACACACCATGGATAAATATATTATAGATTGGAAACATTTTTTTTAAAGCCTTTAGAAGTACTAGAAGAAAATAATGTGATAAGTATAACACCTAAAAGTCATGAAGGAAAAGATGGAAATTTTTTAGCATGAGACTAAAATCTTCATAGTAAAGGATATCATAATCAAACTAAGAAGACAAATAATGGATTGTGAGAAATTGTTTGCAATATATATAACATCTTTTTTTTTTAAAGATGATTTATTTATTTACTGTAGGTAGTGAGACAGAGAGAGCGCACATACACATGCCTGCATTTGTGCATGCCTATGTATAAGAGTTGCAGGGAGAGGCAGAGGGAGAGAATCTTCAAGCAGACTTCTCACTGAGCAGGAAGCCTGACATGGGGCTAGATCTCCCAGCCTGAAAGATCATGACCTGAGTCAAAACCAAGAATTGGAGGCTTAACCAACTGAGCAACCCAAGTGCCCCCATTACAACATTCTAAAGATAAAAAATTAAGAAATCGATTTTTTTTGGCAAATGATATAAATAAGCAAACACAGAATGTGAAATACAAATAGATACCCTTAAAAAAAAAAAAAACTCAAACCAAAAAATACCCAAACTCTCAATCCCAAACTTAGTCAAAAGGAGGAAAGTCAATTGTAAATCCAGATTCATTCACATAACAGCATACAACTATTATTAAAAAAACACATGATATAGACATATGTACATAGATGGTGCAACAAATAGAGAGCTACGTATACATAGCAAACTATTTTTAAATCATATTTGTATCTGAGGATAAGAATGCTTCCCCCCCTTCAAGTGCTTTTGAAACGAGTGAAATTAAATAAATGGAACTCACTCACCTTTAAAATAATTTGTACATAATATGCAAGTTAAAATGCTACCTTAGACTCAGCAACAAAAATGAAATAAAAACAAAGGTACTATTAATGGGGACCATTAGCCTTCAAAGAGTCCTGCAGACTTTGTATAGAAGAACTATCCAACATAAAATACTAGATAAATAAAAAGTTTTATTTTTAAAAATTTTGAACCATATGAAATTGCTCTTTTCCCAGGGCCAAAATGCTTTTTATCAAAAGCATTAATTTGATATTCAGCCTAAATATCTTAGGGTGGGTTGATTGATGGCTGATTTTTCCCGTTTTGAAAATGGGATCTTGACCCTGCTATCCTTATAAGCACAGCTACTATCCTTTTTAGTAAACATATTATTTCCTTATGTTGGCCCACTGCTACTTACAGAAAATGAAACAAATTAACAATATTCTTTTCACCTAACCAAACAGGAAAGACACTTTGAAATGTTTACCGTTCTGGTATCATCTGAGTTTATGCACTAAGAAAACCAACAGATTTATTGAGCTCCCTCAATTGTCTAGGGGACAAGGGTTCAGAATGGTTCTAGAATGCTGACCCTCGGTGCCCTCTGCAAGACTCTTAGCTTTAAACTGGCATTTTCTGAAAGAGACCAAACTTGGATGGTATATGAAATGTTTTTATATCATATTTTACCACTTCTGCTGTACAGTATATTTAAGCCAAAGCTTTGGCACTCATGTCCTAAAGAAAATAGCTTATGACCTCTACCTAGTGACGTAAATTGAACAAACATTCCTATTGTCATTTATGGTAGAAGTACAACAGAATGCAATCAGTGACTGCTATTATACATATTTTGGAAGGGCTATTTCAATGTAAAAAAAGAAAACTTCTCAAAAACAAGTTTTCAGTAACAAACAAAAAACCCCCAGAAGTACATTTCTGGGTTGTACATTGTACATTGTTTCTGGATATGCCTTGGGTTTTATTTGTACAAATTGGACAGCAATTTTTCTTTCTTAAAATGAATGCCATTTTTTTTTCTTTTGCAGAGATTTTTTGAAACTGTATTGCTGGTCACGTTTTGTTTTAATTAAATGAGGAAAATAGTAATATATTCTTGCCCTAAATTAAGAGATTTTTATCTATTTATTTTCTTCAGAGAAGTTGGGAAGACAGAACAAAAAAATATTTATCAAGCATTTTATAAAAATAAATTGTTCCTCAAATTATTAGTAATAGCCTAGGTCACTGTCATACAATATTCCTTTGGTTTATCAAAGGGTCACACTGGGGAAAATCCCCTTTTCTGACCAGTGCTTAGACTTCCTATTCCTCTCTTGCTTTGGGTGATCAGAGCAAATGTATCCTAGTAATCTAGTTAATTTATAGAAAATAGAATCAACCTCTCTTGTTACATCATGATTGAACATTTTTTTTAACTCCTGTAAATGAGTTAGAGATAAGCACTATTTATCAGATTGTTTTGTGGAGCATACGGTTTTGATTATTCTCTATTCTTGTTGCTACTAATGAAATATGCAATACATCTCAAGAGAAAACATTTGCAAAGCATGGCCTGTGAGCACCCAGCAGCAATGAATATTTGCTGAGGATTTATTTTGTGCAGTTTTCACCTTTCTCTCATAGTCCTCTCTCTCCTCACAATCTTTCTCCAACAGCCCATGAGAGCACAGCGATGTGCTTGGGTGACTGAGATGTCCTCTGGGGTCCCCCATTCTAGGACCTGGAGAACACAGTTTCCAAGGGCCCTTGCTCTGCCCTAGCAGCCGAAAGTCATACAGAAATTCCCCAAAGAGCTAAGAAGTGAACCTCGATGAAGTTGTTCAGGCATGGATGCAGGGTACCTTGACACCCTCAATCTGACAAACTCAAGGACCCTTTACCCCTCTGGTGTTAACAGGATCTGGAGATGGACATTTAAAGAGAAAAACCTTCCCCATTGGTGCCATCCCTATCCATTGCACACTGAGATGAGAAACCCCGTGGAAGAGGATTCAGTTAATCGTATTCTCTTCCCAGGCCCTGCAGAGGCTATGTACAGGAGAACTGCAAAGACAGTAGCAGAGGTGAGAGTACAAATATAAAGGCAGGTGAGTTACCGATGCTTATGGCATTCAGATCATCCGGAAGGAATAATCACATTTTTCTGACCTATATAGACCACCTTATAAAAATGTCATTTACCTCTCATTTAAAAGGGGGTAATTACAATTAAATGTGGGAGAGGAGACAGGAAGATGGGATGACCAACATCCCCTCCTCCAGGCTTGGGCAGACTTTGTTCCCTACGGTTGGAGCTGAGGAAACAAAGGGAGGACATTCAGGAAGATAGATGGGCTGGCTGGAGTGCTGACCTGGATGTCACTCACCCTCACTTACCAAGGTCCATGCTCTTTGAGGCTTTCAGATTCATTGATTCGGGCTGCCTGGCCGGTGTCACAGATCTGAAGTGGATGTGCTGATCTGGAAAATATACTGCCGAATCCACCCCAGAGCTGTGGAAAGAAGCCATATGCCGTATTTAGATTTAGAATGATTTTTTTTTCTCTTTTCATAAAGGAAGCAGTTCTCATTTTGAACCCAGCCCCTCGTTGTTCCCTCTCTAGCTCCCAACCATGTATTATCAACCGATTCTTGAATCTCAGGTTGCTTTTATGAGATGTAGCAACTCTATTTTTATGTATTTTATCACACTCTACAATTTAAATAAAATATTCTCTGGCTAATATCATGTTTTCCTCTTCACTGATTTCTGCTAATTGGGATCCTGCTGTACAATATATAACTTCAAATGGGAAAGCCGAGCCTGGAAAGAACTGGCACTTCAAAGGAGGTCACCAGATATTCGCAGAGCCTAAAAGCGGGGTTAAGAGATTTCTGAGGGCTAAGCATGCCCTTTCTTTCAAAACAAGTGAAAGGCTTATATCCTTTAGAGAAAACCATCCTGCTGAAAGACTGCTGGCTGCAGTGGCTTGGTCTTCAATTTTATTTAGGCCTATTTCCTAAAAGTAATGTTAATACTGAGAAAATATTCTGCTCATTAATAATATGAAAAGGAAATAACATCAAAAGCACAGTTGACAGTTTAGACACCAGATACATTAAATACCCATTATAGGCTTCCTAGTACTTGTAGTCAATCTCAGAGAATTCTATTTCTGCTAAATATTTTATTTATTCTGCTTGAGGATGGAGGAGATTATACAAGGGAATTACAGACAATGCCTTATTTCTTGGTCTAGAAATAAATCATATTTATAAATTTCATAAATTAAATTACAGCTGCTTTCTCCCTTGATATTCTCATATATTTAGAAAGTTAATATGGTGGCTCATTTCAGCATAACTTTATTCGAGTTTTAAATTCAGTGAAACTCAAATCAAGTATCTGATAAATCTGAAAGTACTGAAGTAGAGGTTTTCAAACAGTTGGGATTTGACACTATAAACAATAGAGCAACAATAAAAAGAATGAACTCTTACGAATGAGAATCCTTCTAAAATGTATAGGGGATCTTAATTTCTTAGCCAAATATACCAAAATAAGTTTGATCTTTTCTTGAAACCCATTAGTTATGCACATTCAATACTGCATTGCAGCAATATTAAAATTAAAATGCAGCAATAATAATATTGCTGAGTGAATAAATGAACTTCCATTATTGTAATACAGCAAGTGGCTCAAGGAAGTACCCATGACAGGTGGCAGCAGAGCTCAAGAGCCCAGATGCCAGAGAAAGCCTGGCTCTGCTCCTGTCTAGCTGTGGGACCCACGTACGTTACTGAACCTCTCTGTGCTTCAATTTCCTCATGCATAAAATGGGTATAACCACACTCTCTACTTCACGGGGTTGTTAAGAGATAAAATGAGTTTGTAAAGTAAAAATAAAAAGATTTGTAAAGTAAAGGGCATAGATTCTGGAACAGAGTAAGTGCCAGTAGAAGAATTTAGGAAATAACTAAGCAAGTAAATAAGTAGACTTGCATTTGTTTCCCAAATGATCATACATTTTTGCTTTCCGAATCCTTGATAGGATTTCTCAGGTTTCTTTCTTTTTTTTAATTTTTTTTTTATTTATTTATGATAGTCACAGAGAGAGAGAGAGAGAGAGAGAGAGAGAGAGAGAGAGAGAGGCAGAGACACGGGCAGAGGGAGAAGCAGGCTCCATGCACCGGGAGCCCGATGTGGGACTCGATCCTGGGACTCCAGGATTGCGCCCTGGGCCAAAGGCAGGCGCTAAACCGCTGCGCCACCCAGGGATCCCTCAGGTTTCTTTTTTTCTCTGCTTTTGTCCAAGTCTCAGTAGACCCGTGACTAAGAGCCCCCTCTCCTATTTATTTTTAATTTTTTCCCTTTTTTCTAAAAAAATATTATTTTTTTTAAGACTTTATTTATTTATTCGTGAGAGAAACACACACACAGAGAGGCAGAGACATAGGCAGAGGGAGATGCAGGCTCCATGCAGGGAGCCTGATGTGGGACTGGATCCTGGGTCTCCAGGATCACACCTGGGGCTGAACCGCTAAACCACTGACCCACCCAGGCTGCCCAATATTATTTATTTTTAACTGTGGTAAGCTTGACACACAATATTTTATTAGTGTCAAGTATACAGTACAGTGACTCCAACAAGTTTATACCTCATGTTATGTTCATCACAAGTGTGGCTGAGGGTACTGTGTTGTGATGGTTAGGAGCCTGGACTTCAGAGCAATGTGCCAGGGTGTGTGGCCTCTGTGTACTAGTATGTACAATAGACAGTATTAGAATGTGTAGAGTCGTAAGAAATAAAGATAACAGTATATGCTAACAGTAGTATCTAGAACACAAGGAGAGCTCAATAAAAGTGAGCTGGTAATTCTTTTATTTCTGTAGGTTAGAAAGGCCTGAGATAGTCTTCAGTGAAGAAATGGTACATAGTTTCATGAAAATTTCTCAAGAAATTAAAATCTACTCTTTATAAAGCTTTTCCTTTTTTCCTTTTTTTTTTTTCTGACTTCTTTGCTGGTGTCTGACTTCTATTTTCATAGATAAAAACCACTGGCATATATAAAGTATATTAGATGTGGTAACTAGTGATGACAAATATGCCAATTGTGAGCAAAAATCCTTGCACCACCAGTGTTACTGACACTGGCTTGGTGTAACAATAACACTCCAATTGTTTCGGCCCATTTTAAAGAAGAATTCTGAGAGGCTACTGTGAACATGAGCTTCCCCCCTGAGCCTTGCTGTTTTGGAAGCACTTGCCTTTAAATGTGTTATTCGACCTTTATTTGCACTTAGTTTTACATCCTTTGATCTCTTGTGATGATGTGGTTTTAGTGTCAGAAAGACTCATGGCCTTCACAGAATCCGAGAATTTAAGAGCCGGAAGACATTAAAGGTCACCTCATCTAACTCTTCATCTTATAGATAAGATACGGAGGCCCAAAGAGGAGGCTGATGTTCCAAGGTCACACAGCTGGCCAGTGGCAAAGTGAGGGCCAGGACCGTGGTTTCTTAACATTGTCTTTCTCAGAGCCATAAAAGCTGTGGCTAAAATGGTGGCCAGCCTGGGGTACAAGTGGGCTGATACTGACTCTATAGAAATCAAAAGTTTCCCTTTTTGTGCAGATTCATTTATTCTCTTATGCTGCTTGCATTCTACGCTAGCTTTTTGTTTCAGTAGAGTGCTACATACCATGAAGTAAAAGGGAAACCAAAGGGTTAACCCAAACAGATGCCCTATGTTACAATGAAAGCCATTAGGGAGGTGGTTTAGGTCCAACATGAATATTCCTCATTAAAACTTAGGTCACACTGCATTTAAAGTGCTCTGCTCAAGGGAGACTATGGGAATCTACCCAACTGAGTAACATACTGGTTAACCTGCTTTATTGTCTTACTTTACCAAACTAGGCAAATTAAATACAAAAACTCAAATTTTTTGAGACTTCTGGGAAACAATTATCCACATCCCCATTTAAAAAAAAGTAAGGTGGCAATGCCACTTGATGTAATAACATCAAGTAAGGATCCATCTAAAGTGAATTTTTTGGTACAAATATTTAGATACAATGAAAGCTAATCAAGAAATAAAAAGCTGCTTTCTATAAATGAATATAACAAATGTTCAAATATATACACTATATATACCTGAATGTATCCATTAAATTGATGAAAGTGATTTATACTCTATTGCCATTGCTTTGAATATGACCAAGTATATGTTTTGAAATCTTCGGTAGAAGGACCCACTTTGCCAAGGTACAAAATAAGAAATAAGTCAAGATACGGCTGATATTTAAGGAGGGAAGTATAATATGAGAAATTACAGGAATAGAGCCAATATGAGCATATAGTGGACTTAAATAATGAGGTGCAGTATTGAATTAGTTACTGTGGAAATATTTTAGACAGTAAGTGAGACTAGTAAAACCATTTGTATTTTTATGCTACAAATTGAAAATTTTTGGAGGGAAAGGGTGACACAACGATTAACCAGAAAATATGACATATTTTAATTTTGAAGAAAGTTAGCATGTGCTCATGGCTGAGTGGGCTGCAGTGGAGGCTGTGGGAAACTGCAAGCTGACAGCAGGCCAAAGACATGTTTTAGATAAAGGCCATGTTTTCAGCATGAGCAACCAGGGAATCTATCAAATAGAAATGATGCTCAATGTCAAATTATGCTGCATAATGAATAAATAAAGGTAGCATGAAACATATGCCAGTGTCCTGAATGTGGTGACAAATCAGGAATGTGAAAGACATCGAAGACCCAGCCATGAATGTTCAAGGAGAACTGTCAGAAATAAAAAGGAAGGAGAAGAAGATTTTGAGAGGTATGGGAAAAAAAAAAATCTGAAGTCTCAGGTGTTCATCCATGAATAGGCTTCAACAATTGGCTACTATGAGTGAGAATAGATGCAGAAAGGGAGGGAGGGAGGGAGGTGGGGAAGAGGGAAAGAAAGGGAGAGACAGATACAGAGAACCCAGAGAGAAGGGAGAGAGAAAAAACATGAACATGTAGGGAATAACCAAATGTTGTCTGAACTATTAATAAAACTCAATATATTCCACCTGTTACTAATTTGCCTTAAACTCTCCCTGAGATATCACAGTAGAAAATATACTTCCTTTCTATGTATTTTGTATTTAGACACATATTTTCTAAACTTTTGTTCAATAATTGGTGTCATAAAACTCCGAGTAACTTTTCAGTAAATTCCTGATGTCATTTTGGTTCAAGATACAGGCATTAAGTTTGATCACATGCGTGTCTCACTTCTCATGCAATAGTTGTTTTCTGTTTCACAAGACTGGCTACATCCCTAAAGCACCACTTTTCCCTTTTAGAGGGCTTTTAACTTTTTTTTTGAAAGCCAGGGCAGCCTCCCTTGCTCAGCCCTCCTGGCTCCCTTCCAGTCCTCCCTCCATCCCAAGTTCCACAGATCCCAAACCCCCTTGCTGCGGCTGGTCACCTAGGCAACGCAGCAGCTAGCAGGATGGTGCAGGTCACGAGATCCCAAAGGGAAAAGTTTCAAAGCTTTACATTTGTTCCTTCCATCTCAAAAAAGTCTTTGGCTCTGCCCCTTCTTCTCCAGCCATCCTGTTCCTCTCTTCATTCTTGCCAGCCCTCTCTTCTCTTGCCAGTCCCCAGACTATCCTTGTTTATGGCTTTCTCCATCCACAACTGAACTCACTCAACCTGATACTGTCCTCAGCACCTCCTGTTGTTGTTCCCTCCCCCCAAGAAATCTGTGGAGACACTGAAGCAACCAAAAAGGCAGTTGCTAATTCCCGACAATTTCATCTCTGCAGTATGTCCGATGCCCTCTCTCACCTGAAGAGCTTCTCCTCACCTGAAAGTTTCTCATCTGAAAGCTTCTCCCCAGCCTCCTCAGTAGGGATCCTTAGGACCTTTCACTGTTACTGCCCTAGAAAATATCCAGAAAGTCTCTGGCTTCCAGTGGATATTAACCTCTCTCCAGCTACCTAGTGCATGTTGTACACAATTAAGACCCAGGTCTTATCGTGCTGTCTGCTGAAACCCTACCACAACGTTGGACTATCTAATGAGGGAAGTCTGTATTCCTTATCTTTGCACTCTGGGCTCTAACATCTGGCCAGTCAGCCATGATACAAGTTGCACAAATCAACTTCCTTTCCCAGCTTCCTCTCTCTGAAATTCCCCTCCGTCCTGGGCCTTTGTCATGTCCACCTCCAATTCATACTTTGAGATTTAGATGAAACGTCACTTTTCTCATAACATTTTACCCAATTCTTCCATCTGGAATCATTCTCCTCTACCTTGGATGTCCAGGGTTTTTTATCTATACCTTCTAGCAAATACTACTTTGTATCCTGTGTGCTAGTTGACATTTTTTTTTACCTATTGGCCTACCATCTTCTTGAGGGTAGGCTTTATATCTGATTCATCTTTGCATTATCCCCACACTTTTGCATGTGTACAGATGATAAACAGTAAAGTAGAATGAATGCAATTATTTTTTAAATGCATTTTGTTATGGCCACCAAACTGTCATTTTTGCTTCAGGATGAAGGCAGGCAATGGAAATGAACAAAACCAAATATGTCCACATTTTCTTTCAAGAAACCTCTAGAAAACTGATCTAGAACATTACTGTAATTATCAATCCAGTTGGTGAAATTATATTTGAGTAAGATAGCTGACTTCAAAAATTTAGGAATCAGAGATAGCTAAATATATGTAAGCTTCCGGCTAATAGAGTTAGCTATACTCTTTTTGTGTTGCTTTATTTTTAGCAGATTGTAATAAAAAGCATAATAGGAATGACAACAGCATTGCTGCAAGAAAAATGAAAAAATTTCACAGGATTATCATGGGACATAGAATGGAATAAAATACACAGTTTTTAACAGCCATAATAAATACAGAAAATAGCAAAGGGGCAAGTTAATGATTTTTAAAACTCATCAGAAGAACAAAATCTATGAATTCCACAAGTCAGATGGTGTGTATACTTAGTAAATCTCTCTCTCTCATGCTTGTGAGATTCTAAAAATCATTGATTTTTTTGTTTCTATTACAGAGTGGATATAGTATTGGGCACTCTTTTCAATATTTTAGATTATATATGGTGTTGCTTTAATTTTTAGATTCCATTAACTTTCTTGGAACATTTATTTTTAAAATACCTTTAGGGTTTGCCAATTATAAATGAAAAAAAAAAACACAAAGCTTTATGTCCTCTCAGTTTTGTTTTATACCTTCCCATAGAACCTTCTGAGTTCTCTGGTTTTTCAACATGTTAAAAGAAAGTTCAACAAGTTTCTTAAATATTTTATAATATATGATGAATCTTAAACTCCAGGAAACAAAGTATGAACACTCTAAACTATTAGTTTTAGCTGTGAGAAGTTTTCACTGAAAAGGAATTATAGATGCTGAGATTTCCATTGTGGAAAGAAATAGAGTTAAAATAAGGTTGCTGGGTTTTCCCAGAAACACCATAATGGGGGAACATTTACGATATATCATTTTATCAATACCTGTGGCTGTAATCTTCAGTGCCCAATTCCAGAATGGGATGTGGTGGTGGAGAAGGTGGGACCTCACTTTCGGCCCATCCGTCACTGGGAAGCAATAGCTCTAAAAAACAAAGAACCAATGAAGCTGTAGTAAATGGGAGGCAGAAGTGCTCGGTGCCTGACTTTGTTTCAGTTCATCTCACAGATGCAATTTTCACCAACCCATAAACCAACCTTGAAATAAATAAGTCTTCCTACAGGACTGAAGGATTTGTATGAGAACTAATACAGCCCTGTATGAGGAAATCTAAGCCTGCTAATAGGTTTTTACACTGGTGACCTGCTGGCAATCTATGGCAAGTCAAGACTGTGCATCTTGAATATCTTTCCCCACCTATGACAGTCGCTCATGACTTGTGCTCTGTGGAAGATTAACAAAGTCATCTCTTTCATACCTTAACAGTTTTGTAAACAAAACTCTCTCATGAACACTCTGGATTATGTGGTGATTTAGGTATTTTCTTTAATGGCAAAAAGTACTTAAAAAATGAGATACTTTATATCTACTCACCATTTAGAGATGGTAGAGGGGAAGAAAATACTCTTTTTGCATCTGTGCTACAGTGGAAATAAGGGAGTTTGAGGCCTTGGCAGTAAAAGACTAGGGTCAGACTTGTTTTTTTCACCCACCTAAAATGTACACTTTTTAAATACATTCTACTTTGGAAAAAATAGACATGTATCCTATATATTACTACAACCCATAACAAGCAGGTCTGCTGAGATCTTACTGCATAGCAGATATTGTGCTAAGTATTATGTACATTATGTCATTTAATGCTCATACTTATTACCAGTATTAATGAATGTATGAAAAGCATGAGAGTGCAGCCTGGTTAAGGGTAAAGTTTGTGCAACAAAGCTGCCATGTCTCTGGTCATGGCTCCCACTACTATGTGAACTTGGCCTATTTATTCTAAACCTGGTTTTTTTAAAATCTATAAACTGGAGATGAGAGTAGCTTCAGTACAGGAATATAAGGATCATACTAGATGGTGCATATTCACACAGATTTACAAATGCAAAGTGCTAATAAGCAACTGAAAGATTACCACTCTATACGTCCTAAACTCTACTGTGTATCTATTATAGTGAGAGATTTGGTGAAAAGTGGATCCTATTTATTCTTGACTGTTGGAACAAGAGGAAAGCATCTCTATCCCTGTGAAATGCTGCTGGTAACTGAACATGCTTAACCCACCCACGTGCCAGATGTGATGGTTACTTTTAGGTGTTAACTTGACCGGGCGCAGGGTACCCCGATATTTAATCATACACTATTTTGGGTGTTTCTGGGAAGTTGTTTCTTGGATGAGATTAGTATTTAAATCAGTAAAGTAGACTGTCCCCCAACAATGTAGATGAACCTCATCCAATCGGCTGAAGGCTTGAGTAGAACCAAAACGCTGACCTTCCTCTGAGTAGGAGAGAATTCTTCCTGCCTGCCTGTTTTCAAACTGAGATACTGGCTTTTTCCTGCCCTTGGACTTAAACAGAAATATTAACTCTTCCTGGGTCTTGAGTCTGATGGCTTTCACACTGGGGCTACCCTGTTGGCTCTGCTTGGTGTCTAGCTTGCCCATTCACCTTACAGATGTTGGGGCATGCCTGGCTCCATAATCATGTGAGCCAATGCCTTATAGTAAGTCTCATTATATCACATTAGTTATTATATGTTATTATTATATACATTATTATATATTATGCATTATATATTATGTGGTATATGATATAACGTATATTATACATTAAATACATATAATTACATAGACATCCCATTGGTTCTTCTATGGAGAACCCTGCTCCAAAGGAGGCAGTCGTAGCAGTGCTGACACATCCCTGGGTAGGAGGCTTGAAGTAGGAGATCTGATAAGCAGGGTGACTGGGGTATACAAGCATGGTTAGTAGAGGCAGCCAGCACTATCCCCCTTCCTAGCCTCCCATCCAAATGATGTAGTGATTTGGTAATATAGCCGCAGTCAGGTAGCCAGAGACTTGCTGAGAGGAATAGAAGAGAAGGAATACACTGTAAACTGGAGGCAAGGGACATATTGGGACAATATTTTCTACTGGCTCTAATTTCTCTACCCTCAACTTCTTAGCCCATCTTTCACACTGGTGATATATAGAGCTGTGACCATGCAAATTGGCCTCTCAGAAACACGTCAATTGCACAAAACAGCGTAGAGAACAATGGTCTATGCTTCTGGCAGGCAACTTTAGCTCCTTATTACACATTAGCTCCCCAAGACTACTTACTGCTTCCCAAGCACAAGCCTGGATTTTCTTGCCTCAGTGGATTTGCTTCCATAACTTCAAAATCCACTCCCATCCATCAAAGTCCCACCCTTCTCTCAAGGTCCACCTCAAATACCATCACCTCTATGAAACCCTTACTATTTCTCTCAGATCCGTCAACAGTTTTAGAACAGTGGCAGAGAATACTAGTGCTCGTTTTCCTTGTCTTCCTGCTTTCCTCCTGTACACACAGATCCCATTTCCCAGCCTTCTTTGAACCTAGACTGGGTCTTCCCAATAGCACATGAGTTGTTCTGGTCATTGACATCCCCAGGTCAGCGGTTATGAAATGGTGTGCTCTCTCCACCTTTCCATCTCCCAGCTGCAAGCAGAAGTGGATGAGGCTCTAGAAATTGTCCAGCTACCAATGGAAGGAGTGCAGGTCCCTCAGTCACTGCATGGAGCACAGCCCCCATCCTCCTGCTGCCATGCACACCTCACTGGGTGGTGATAAGACAAGAAAAATATTATCACTGTCTATCCACTGACATTTGGGGTTTATTAATACTATAGAAAATTACTCCATTTGCAACATTTATCACATGCTGCTTTTGCAATAAGCTATTGATCTACCATCTATCTATCTCTACTTCTCTTGCTGGACTATAGAGAAACTCCTCTTTATACTTTTTCTCCTCTCCCTCCTCTTCAGCATCTTCTCTGGATTCTTCAAATTTTATTACAATTGTTACCTTTACTTTTTTTTTTTTAGAGAGAGAGAGAGAGAGAGAGAGATTGCATTGCCAGGGGGCAGGGGGAGGAGGAAACAAACAGCTCAGGTTGCCTCTATTACCTTTAAATTTTTATATCATCCACATGAACAATCTACATATTTTTAAAGTATCTTTAGGTACAGAGGCAAATTATCTTCTTTGTTGACTCTTTATCCTTGGTACATTTTGAAATATATTCAGATGCTAGAAGGAATTGTTTTTCTCTCTTGGCCCAAATACCTCTATTAACCCTACGTCAGTGTAAACATATGGAATTCTCTTCTGCCAAAAATAATTTTTCTGGATTTCATCACACATACAGGGTTAAGTCTTGATGGTCATCCTATATATATGCCTGTGAATGTTGACAGTGCATCCTCAAGTAACTACTTCATTCTTGACCCAATGACCCTTATTTTAATCATCATCATTTTTTTTTATTGTTGTTAGTTGTTTTATAGACTCTGACCTGCTAGGGCCAGATCAGGAGAGTAGAAGAGATTGTGATTTTAGACAAGGGCTCAGTGAGCTAAGGCCCTGGTCTAAAAAAATCTCCCCGTCTGATTTTGTAAATAAAGTTTCATTGAACAGTTATGCTCATTCATTTACATACTGTCTATGGCTGCCTTTTCACTATAGTGGCAGGGCTGAAGAGCTGAAACAGAGATTCCTTGGACTGCAAAGCATAGCACATTTACTATCTGCCCTTTAGAGATAAAGTTTGATGACCCCTGCTTTAGATTATTTAATTAAAAAAAATTAAGCCAATTCTTGAGGGCTATAACAGCACTGTATTCTTTGAATCCCTGATAGTGAATTCTGCACAAGGAAGGTACCCAATAAACATCAGGCAAATTGAAAAGAATAATTCAATTTCTGATCACCGCTCCAGAGGTAGTGCCTTATGTGCTACAGAGGGGTGGACACATGCTGGCTCCCCAGAGAAGGCACATTAGGAATAATTATACATTATGTGTCTGCTCAAAGGACCCCAGGGAACATGGATCCAGTGAGGCAGGACACAGAACCAAAGGGCTTGATTTGAGATGGGGATGGAAGTCCTACAGGAGCCCTCACTGAGTAGTGATCCTGGGCAGATTTAGGGCAATGAGGGACTCACACATGGGGCTGGGGTGTAGTTGAGTTAAAAGGGGAGGGGAGGTAGGAGTAGAGTACAAAAGAGGAGACAAGAGCAATGAAAAGAGAATAACAGACTGGAGGCAAATGGTCCTTATTACTTAACTATTACTTGTCTAGGGATAAGATCTGCCAGCAAAATTCTTCAGAAAATACAGCGTTGGTATTTCCTGTTCTTCATTACCATTTAAATGCTTGATAGGATTTTATAAGTAAAACCTTGGGACACAGCCCCTGTCCTCATTACCATCTTGGAGCACCACACTCCTTCCACTGCAAGCATTGCTAGCAATTCTCCAACATAAATGTGAATTTTCTGGTGTTACAATTTCCAAACATTAGTTCTAAAAATGTCTTTTCCGTGTAACAGCTTGACAGGAATATATATATATATATATATATATATATATATATATATATATAAAATAACCAAGGAACTGTGGCTGGTATGTACTATTATTACAAAAATAGATGGAACCCAGCATATCAACATTGGGTTTTTAAATATACAAAGGAAAGGAAAAAGGGAAGAAAAAAAGAAGTTAATGTTTTGGCTGTAACAGTTCCTTTCCTCACTAGACATTACATTTTGTCAACTCAATCCTGCTTTTCTGAAGGGGCTCCTTAAAAAACTTGGTAGTGTTAAGTCAAAACTCAGGTTTCATGAGTCTAGGCGGCCTCTTGCTACCTCACAGGCATCGGAAACTCAGAAACTCTCAGTGCTTCTCAAAATTTTAAATGTTTTTAATATTACAAAGAGGTGATCATCATGATATGCTTGTACAGCATCATGTTTACAAATTCTATTATATATATTTTTATCTCTATGTCAATAGGCTTATATAAAAGTAAGAAAATTTCATCTACAGGCCTCTTAATGATTAAAATTTAATGAGTTTACCTTGATAGGCCTAATTCTTTAACTCAGTATTGTATAACAGATCTACAAGGAAATAGCATAGATTTTTCCTCCTAAGGAAAAAAAAAATGTTCAGTTCAGTCCCTTCTTGAAAGAACTGGATTTTTTTTTTTTTTGTCACCTTGGAAAATTGACATGGGGGGTGGGAGGAAGTAAAGCAGGAACCTTGTAGGTAGCTGACCTGCATAGTTTTTCACTGGTGCAAAAAGTTGTACTACCTGGATGTACATCTCAAGAGGAGGAGAACAGAGAGAGACTCCCAGTAGTTGTCTGCAGCCACATGTACCCAAAGGACCTAACTGTTCAGTGGAAATACAAACTCAAAACGTTCTATTGAAGTTTCAAAGTATTCTGACATTTTATTTTTAGAATGTGCTTCGCCAACTGGACTCTATTATTTATTTATTTTTTTACACATGTATCCTTACACTTTTACTACTTCTATAGTTTCATTATTTTGGTCTTTGCTGTCCCTTCTAGAAATACTGTCCCATTTCCTCGAGTATCTCAATGTCCTTTAAAAATACTCTGTATAATTATCACTCCAGCATCAATATTTTATAGTTATTAAAAATGAGGGGCACCTGGCTGGCTTAGTTAGTGGAACATGTGACTCTTGATCTCGGGGTTGTAAGTCCTTGTCCCATGTTGGGTGTAGAGATTATTTAAAAAGTAAAATCTCCAAAAAAAAAAAAAAAAGAAAGAAAGAAACAAGATAGGAGATAATGTGCCCACTGGTATCATTAGAAATAAAACCCTGAACTTGGATTGTCACTGTATCACATGTTGCTTGAGAATTAAACACCAATCAAATCACATAAAGCTTAAATATTTTAATACACATGGCAATGTTCTTGATCATTACATGGGCATGGCAGAGAGAAGGGTGTGTTGGTCTGCGGAAAACTTGCTGTTCCTTCCCCAGATTCTCCTGCTACTGTGATTTAAGATCTCAGAAAGAGATCTCGCTTTGTCAAGACAAATTTTAATTTCTTAAAGAAGATGAGAAAAGAGAGTGTTTCTTTATCTGATACAAAGTCAAGTGAGCTATTAATGGACATCCTTGGTATCAGGTGAAAGGACTTCAAAGTTTCAAGGGACTAATGTAAGGCAAGGTCTGTGCTGTGATTTAGGGAATGAACTTGAATCAGAGAGACAGAGGCTGGATCCAGGCTCTGCATGGATCAAGTATGTGGTCTCGGGTTAATTATTTACTCTCTATTTCTTCATCTGTAAAATGAGGATAATAGCATTACCCACTTCCAGTGTGCATGTAAAGTGCCTAACACAGAATCCAACAGTCAGTAAACACTTAATAAATAAATGGTCACAGCTGTTGCTGCTACTCTTACTAAAATGGAGGAAGTCAGAGGAAAAAAAAAACAATGTTCCATTCTGATAAAACAGCTTAATTCTATAAGAATCTGAGATATACAATCCTATTCTGATGGAGTTTTAAGAGTTTAGAATTTGTCCCCACATAGTTAAATTTTGGTAACATCTTAAATGTAAGTAAGGGATCAATTACATCAAGAGTACCTGTATTGAATAGATTACTATGCAACCACAGAATGTAATGCTGTAAAATATTCAGCGACATAGTGAGATGATCATAATGTATTATTAATTAAAAGAGCAATTTCCTAAACATTACATATATTTCATTTTCATTTCTTTTTACATATGCATATTTGTATGAAGGAAAGATCTGAAATAACAGACGTAAAAATGTTATCGATTAGTATCTTTGATAGAAGTATGAGTAATATTAAATTTTCTTTTTATTGCTTTCCCCTAAATTTTCTGTAATGAATATGCATTGCCTTTGCAATACAAAAAACTTAAAGCTATTTTTTAAAAAAAGGATATGCAAAGAAATAAAAAAAAATTTTTTTCTTGGTGACTGTAAGTATGATTTTTTAAAAACAAAGGAAAGGCCAAATGTTTTACATCTTGAGCTCTAGTAGTACAGAATAACGGAAAGATAATGTAGTGAGGGAGTAACAAGAACATTCCAAATGTTACATAATGGTCTCGGTTAATGGTATTTACCCCACTCTTCCTAGAATCAAGCGTAAATCTGGGAATCATGTTATGACTATCTTATGGTTTAATTAATACTAGTCCATACATTTTTTAAGTTTAATAGTTATTTACATTTGATAACTCCAATAATTAAAAGATTGTTAAAAAAATAACAGTTTGCTTTAGTTTCTCTAGGCATGGTTTGTTTTACACATAATCCTCCATGTTTGGGGCAGCAAGCATAGAAACTGTTACTTAAACTTGAGGCAATGCCAGGAATCTGCTTCACAACTTCTGAGTCAGCTCTTCTACCCATCATCTCTCAGTGTTCATGACTCAGAGTAACAAAGTCTGCACTTAGTCTAATTAACTTCTTTGTTTTCTATTTTTTTTTTTAATAAAGAGATAGTCTTGTGTTTTCTCATGCTATTTGCAATAGATGGAAATGGATAGACTCTTACCTTTCTGTTTGTCTTGTGAACTGTAAGCGCCAAATGGATGCAATGAGCTATGATCATTTCTCCTGGAGGTGGTTATTGTGGTTTGACAATTCTCAAAGCATGGCTTAGAAAATGTCCCACACTCTGTAGGCTCCTAAGGGTTGAAAAGAAAAATTACATTTGCTTTTTTAATATGTATGAACTTGGTCAATGAGAGCGAAGTAGGAGAATGATCAATGCAAGCTCTTCCAGAAGTCTACTGCATATACACTCTCAACTGAAAAATCAAAATGGCCTTATCAGTTAAAATATCTGTGAATATGAAATACAAAAATACTGACAATGTGGTGCTAAGGATTGGGAGTACTCATAGCCAACATAAGAGAGGATTAACTTTATTATTCTTTCCTCCCACTTACAACTGGCTTCTTTAAAATTTTCTTCCATCTGGGAATACAGCTTGTGGCAGTGTCAACACAAGAATACGGTTCATGCCAAGGGTGTTTTTCTGCCAGCCAGCTGGTTCCTCTCTCTCTCCCTCAGTGACTGAGTGCATATGCTCTAGGACAAGTCAGAACCTAAGCAGGTTGCCATGAGTGTATCCCACTGCAGATACTAGGTCTTTTGGCCAGAAGCTAAGACAACTCTGTGACAATGCCAGGCAGTGGTTCTCCTGAGCTTTTTATCAGGAGATATTTTTGATATTTTCCCATTTTGATGTTGACAGCCTGCAAATTTACAGTGTCCTCAAAATGGCTGCATCCAGAGCAACATGCCCACAAAACACGTTACACAGGTGGGAAGAAGTAGCAGAGAAGGACCAGTTATGGATAGCTCCAGCTGTGTGTTCAAGAGGATTGAGACACAGAGAACTGGGTTCTGCTCTTGCTTGGGTTGTCTTTCTAACAGATTTCAAGGAAAACGTGTGGAACCATCTCATGGTTGTGTCCTTGACCATTTGTGAGAGGAACAGGCCACTAACAGAAACACAGATCTGATCCCCAAAGCTCTTTCCTTCTGAGCAAAGCATTTGGCCAGAACAATTTTATTATACTTTCTGCTCAGTTACAAAAACTCAGTATCCTGATAAACAAAATATTTAAAACATTCAATTTATGCATACTAAATAACTAAAATGTTTTCAGCTGCCAAAGGTCTGTTAGCTTCTTGTCGAGGCTTATAACACTTTTCCCACACTAAGTGCTCCCCTCTGCCTCTGTACTGCTAGTCAAACCAAACTCAGCAAACTACTCTAAATTGAAGTTGGAGCCCTGGCAGGCAAGAAAGGTAAGACTTACTTCACATAGCCTTGTGCTTTCACAAGAACAACAAGAACCAAAGGAAAAAAAAATTTTTTTCTGCTTTTCCAGCCTTTGATAAATGACACAATCGATATCCCAACAACTGATCAGTAACCAGCCTAATTAAAGTATCCAGCTTGTAAAATAGAGCTGTCGTGCAGCCCTCCATTAGTGTCCCAGCCAATAAAAAATATAATGGATTTTTAAACATATTCCGCTTCTACCAAGATGAACTTGTAGCGGAGGAGGGAAATGTTTTGGAGAAGGGGGGATAAAAACAGGTCATAACCCATTTTTTAATACTAACTCTCTAGGCTCAAATAGAATTACAATTGAACCTCAAGCTCATCCTTTGAAAAACATGTTTCTGTTTAAAATGATTTTGATTCAATCAGGGACTCATTATGTATTCTTTACGAGGTCCTCATCAAAACTGTTTACGTATCTTGTACATCTGGGTAATGTGGGAAAATACTCCAACAACTATATATTTTGACTTTTCTTAAGTAGCTTCTTCAGTTTTTTTTATATCAATATAATGTTCAAGTAACCATTTTGGTATTCTTGCCAAATCTAACTAATTGATTTGCCTGAATGTATAAGCAGTGCTGAGACCTTTTTCTCAGTTATGATGCTTTTTTATTGTACCTGAGGGTGATTGCTGCTCCACAGGAAGAGCCACCAAAAGCATGAATGCACAACATATGCTTTGACACAGTAAAGCATAGAACTGGGAGATCAAATAGCTGCAGAAATGGTTTTTTTTCCAATTTAATAAAGATTAGTTGTACATTAGAGGCTGCTGTCTTTATAAGAAAAAAAATGCTTTTTAATCTTCATGGGTACCACAGAGATTCCCGATAGCTGTGAGCACCAGTGCCTGCCCATTCCCCATGGAAAACATGTAAATATTAGGGAAACTAAAAAGGAACCTTGTTTAAATGTCCTCATCAAAATTGCTTTTTGTCCCATTTCTTAATTCCCAATTAATTTCCTGGTGAACTACATTAATAAGACACTTGCGAGGATAGGCAACAAACCAAAAGTTTAGCACTTGCTTCTGATGGAATAATTGTCAACCCACCTCAGAGTGGGAGAGTGGAAATACGTGCAACAAAGAAGAATGTAAATGATAAAATGTCTCAACTAGATGAGCCCAAGTACAGAATGCTTACCCACCACGCATGCATCTGTTTTAGGAAAAGACATGAAATTAAGGAAGGGGAGAGGTGGTGAACAGAACAACAATTGTGTTCATCTTTTCTTTCTTTCTTTTTTAACTTTTGCTATTTGCACAAGTATGGTACTCTACAGCAATGCCTTCCAGACTTTTCTCTTAGTTGAAATATCTTTGTTCCAAGAAATCCTAAGGGAAACATAGTAAACAGATGCAAAAAATGGGTGGCTTAGGAGCCCATGGGCCATCCTTCACACCCAACTCTGACAACTGGGTACCATGAATCCCAAGGCTCTTGAGTTAAGAATCAAATTAAAAACCAGAAAGGAGCCAATTCCATCATGGATGGAAGCAATAGATCAGGGTTTTATAACTATGTACATAAGTAAAATCCATTAAATATTCATGGAAGCCTCTCTGTCACTTAAGCAGACACAAATGTTGAAAACGAGTTGGCTCATTATATATAGTCTCCAGTAATTGGCCAATTTACATTTATTTAACATTTACAAGGTTATGTACAGAAGAGTAAAAAGGTACAGTTACTCTTTTCCAATAGCTGATAATATAACAAAGTGAGATATAGTTTATAAGTTTACTACTTCAGCTGACCCTCTCAGATAAAGTAGGTCTCAGATGCATCTTTTATTCATTCATTCGACAATATTTATTAAGTGTCTACTGTGTGCTGGGAAATGAGGATACATTAAGGGATAAAATAGACAACAGTATCTGTCATCTGGAAGTACTGAGTGCTCAACTGTGTATGTCTTCACATAGCCAAAAAATGGACAATCTGGGATTTTTAACTCAAATAATCCAAACCTTTAGAGCTTATGCTTTTAACTACTAGGAGCTCCAACTACCTTCTACTATTGTTTAATTTGAAAAATCCTCTCTTTTTTATTTTTAAGTTTAACTTATTAAAACTAATATTTTATTTTAGTGTGTTAACAGTATTCTATGTTAACTCTGCTCATTACTGCATTACACAGACATTACTTGTCCTTAGAGACTATTTGTGCAATTTGCTCATCTTTTTCTTTACTCTAAACTATGATCAACTGTTTTCTTCTTCTATTTTCTTAAAAATCTTTAGGAGCATTTAATAATTTGGGACGCCTGGGTGGCTCAGCAATTGAGCCTCTGCCTTTGGCTCAGGTCGTGATCCCACAGTTCTGGGATAGAGTTCCGCATCAGGCTCCCCGTGGGGAGCCTGCTTCTCCTTCTGCCTATGTCTCTGCCTCTCTCTCTGCATCTCTCATGAATAAATAAATAAAATCTTTTAAAAAAATAATTACTTTTCATATAAAGGGAAAATAATGTTTTAAGAATATTTTCTATTTATTATAAATATATTAATATACTTATATGATTTAATAATATAATCATGTAATATAAATATAATTGTATGTAAGTGAAATGTTCAGGGATATCAGCATTCAAGAACATTTTATTCTTACACTCCATGTGTATGTATAAATATCTCTTATGTTAAAAAATGCATAAAAAGTCATGATAAGATGCTGCAAAAATACTTATTTAATTAAAAACATTTATTTAATAACATGAAGTAGGCAGCTTGTTTAACAGATCATGTTTTAAATTAGTGAAGTCCCAGATCTATAGTGTCCATGTGCACACTGTGGGGGAAAATATACTGTATTATTAACAATCTTCACATTAAGCACTGTATATATCTGGTTAAGAGTTTTCTAAAGTATGGACATATAAGCACATCAACCAAAAAGTATATAAAGATGTTTAATAGTTTATTATATGAGTAAAGTCCAAAGCTCTAGAAATTTCTGGGGGAAAAAACCTAGAAAATATGGACCTGTTACATTTGATAAATTACTTACTTTATATGCATGTTTTTATACCTTTTAGTTATACCTATAATATACAACCACGTGTTGGCCACATAAATCCAGCAGAATACTTCTGGGGTGTATTTTTCCTGTTTTAGATTCAGTAGGATACTAAGTGATGGAACTTTGCACAATTTACGTGGCCATTTGGGCAATTTGCTGAAGGAACTAAAGACATGCATCACCTCCAGTGGTCTCTCTGGTCTCCGCAGAATCACCAATTGGATCATCCCTCGAATGTTTCCTTCCATGGACATTGATCGCCTCAGTGTCTCCATAGCTTCATGGTTGGACTTTCCCAAAAGAGATTCCCCATTAACAGCAATCAGCTGGTCATTCATCCGCAGACGACCATCCTAGGGCAGAACAAAGAAAAACATTATTAAACAGAGAAAAGTATGGTGATGATGGATGGCTGTTTCAGGAGAAGTTCAAGTTTAAAAAAAAAAAAAAGAAAAAGAAAGAAAGAAAAAAAAAATCCAGCCATTAAGAATGATTTATTTTCTATGGCAGAAAAAGGTTCTGGAGCTTATCAAATAGTCACAAATACCAACAATAATGAACTGTGTGAAAGTATGTTTTAGAAATCTCAGAGTCCCAAGCTGCAATAATTTAGACATTTATATAATATCTTTTACCTAAATCTTTGGCAAGCATGCTAACCTAGTCCAATTCTGCCGTTTTCGCTGGCAGGGATCATGTTGGCTCAGGGAAGGGGGTTTGGAAACAAAAGGAAGTGGTCATATCACTTGAAACAGGGCTTAGCATTTTGAGGCACAGAGACATTATGCTCAAATGTTGCATATTTGACAGTGGTAATGTGTCTCCTAGATATTACCGCCAGCTCTGTTGAACAGTGCTGAAAAAAAAAAATCTCATGTAATTTTCTCTAACACAACCAAAAAGTTGCTAGTCTGCTAGTGTGCAACAGAACACAGGGGTATGCAGTGAAGGATCACTTTGCTATGATGTCTTCTGGCAGAAAAAGCACGACAAGAGACTGTCGAGCTTTTTGCAAGGAGGTCTGACTGATAAGTACTTTTACCCAGAATCTTTGAGAAACCACGCGTTACAAAGTGCATGAAGCTCAACATGTGGATAGGCAGTCTGGATTTTAGTCTAAATCACTTCTAGGAACTAGTCATCTTCAGCCAGGAGCATCACATCCTCCAGTTGGCAGCTCTGCCAACAAAAGACTTGAGTGGACCAGAGTGCCTCTCCCCAGTGGGCAGCCTTGAGGAAAGAATGCTCAAAATGCTGACAGGTTAAGGAATGCCTTATACCTGTTTTCACACTGGGGTAGAAAGTTCTCACTACGAGGCACAGGTGCAGTTTTAGGAGGGTTATGATGCTGCTACTGTTGCTAATAAACTTAACAGAAATACTAGTACAATAATATGACAAGCTACCTTCCTGGAGATTTTTTCCATAAATTATCTCTAGTGCTTCTCACAGAACTCAAATTCTAGAACAATGCTTTTATTCACATTTTATAGATAAGGAAACTGAGGCAGGGAAGGGCTGTAACCTGTCCATGTCACAAAAGCAAACCAGAGACAAACTGACCCAAGTTCTGGTTACATGTACCTTGGCTCTTCTAGAGTCTCTCTTCTAGAATTCTCTTTGTTCCCTGGTCTCTAGACTAGCTGTACAACTCTAAAATAGGAAAGGAAAATATTGAAGAGTTTTTGCGGTAGAATCTGGGATCCATGTTCAAATTAAGAGAGTAAAATACAAAAGAATAAAACTTCCCTAAGAAATGAGAAAACCAGACATACAATGAACAATAGGACCAACTGTGCAGCTTTGGGAGAGAAATCCTGTGGGCAAGTTGATAAACTTTGACTAATTCGGTAGCAGATGGTCACAGGAAGTTCTTCCGCTGACAGCAGGGGAAAGGGTGAGTGGTGAAAGCTGCTCTGGGGAGCTAATGACCTGATGGAGATGCACTGAATGTGCCACCTGCTGGAGAGGGCGCTGCTCCTGCAGGATCTCAGGGGCCACGGGAAGGAGCACATGCTCCTGAATGAAGGAAGTGGGACAGCAAGGTGACAAGATCGATCAAGGAGGGCATCCCATCAGAGAAAAAAGTCTGAGTGGACTGCCTCCACAGAGCGTAATGTCACCTCCCTTCCTCTTGTTTTCCCACTCCACTTAACCTTTACCCTAATTTGGAGCAAATCTGGAAATGAGATTTACAGGAAAGGCCAAACAAGAAAGAAATCTCTCCATTTCTATGATCTAATTGTGAGTGAGGCACAGAAAGACTGAGGTTAGGGTTACACAAAACAGGGTAAAACAAAAACAAACTTAATGGTTTAGTCATGCGAGGTGAGACATGACTCAAGAAATCATTCTGTTCCATTTTGGTCTTTAACGGAAGGAGGATTATTGGGTTGAATCTTGAGAAGGAGGTTGGGAGGGTCACTAAAAATTGGATGTAGATTTTTAAGGAGGAGAAGGAAGCAGAAGAGTTGGATCAAGATCCTAGCTTTGTGAACAGGAAATGAGGCTAGCATTGGATTTGTAGAGGCTTAGTCTTGGCAGGACACCTCGTCCTCTATGATATGAAGAAAGATAAAGATTGAAACTCTTTGGGTATCTCTGGAATGGAGGAAATAAAATCTGAGCGAGATTCCACCTGGTAACCTCCTGTGAACCTTCTCTGTGAAGTATGGGGCAAGGTCTAAGTGAAGAGGTGAACAAGAAATAAGGAGATCTAAGGACCTTTCCTTGGTAAAAAATAATCTCTTACCAACAGGTACTAAGTACAAACTTTCATTTTTAGCTGCATTCCAGATCTCAAGCATACAGGGCACTACATTGAAGTGGAACATATTTGCTGTATCCAAGTCCAAAACAAAAAGGCAGATCAGGTCACCGCAGGGCAGCTGGGATTTTTTTTTTTTTTTTTTAGAAGACACACACATTTATCACAAGCATCACTGGAGAGCTGTGGGCATGATAAAAATCCACACACTCTCATTTCCAGGCTTGGCTGGTCTGTTGCTCTTGGTGTGTGCTTTCTCTGTATAAGATAAATGATGGGTAATTTCATTAATGGTGATACCAGTAAGTGCCATGTTGTCCTAACATTTAGAATATAATCACAGAATTTAGAGCTGGAAAGGTCCTTCGAGATCATCTTATCCAACCTCTTCTGTTTACAGATAAATAATGTGATGCCCAAAGAGGATGCAAAATCATTTATTGAACTCCTCTTAAGAGAAGGCACTTCCCCGTGGGCTAGGACTTGCTCAGCTAGTTAGGGTAGGGTCAGAGCTAAATCAGAAGAGCCTAAGTTCTGGCTTCTTAGCATTTTCTGTTCCCTAACCATTCTCTCAGCTACGTAGATGACAATGACTCGTTCTTGAAGAAATAATGCTTCAAGAAAAAAACTTTCAAAAAAAAAAAAAAAAAGAAAAAACTTTCAAAACCAGAGAGGACAATATGCCACCAAATGTCTCCTAGAAGAAAGCCCCCTAAAAAATCCAGAGTCAGGCAGCAGAAGATATGGTGACTGGTGTGTGTGCTGGGGGATAGCAGGACAACTACTGTCTTCTATAGAAGCAGAAGACAGTTTGTTCACCTTTCTAGCTATATGGACATAAATGCATATCCATGTCGGCTCTTGATCGGAAATGAAAGTGATTTAATGGAACGCTCATTAAATATCTCTAACTCAGACTCATTAAATATCCCTCATAATTGTGTATGCCCATTGCGTATGCTTTGGAATAATCTTGACCAAGAAAAGCACTTTTTTATGGTTTTATCTTTTTCTATTAAATACATTGTTTAGGTAAATACTTAGAGAATGCTAACTCTTATCAGCTGATTTTACATAAGGGTATTCAACTATCCCGGGATATAACTCAGTAATTTTAGAATATTTATTTCATTGCAATTTGGGTCATGCTTGTGTTTGTTAAAGAAAAAAAATCCCTTTCTGGTATAGATGGAATGTTGGTGTCCCTCATCCCCAGCCCCTCTTCCAAATACATATGTTCCAAATAAGTGAGATTATTAGGATGGAACCCTCATGAATGGGATTAGTGCCCATATAAAACAGGCCTGGGAGAGATCCCTCACCTCCTCTGCCATGTGAGGGTACAGCAAGCAGATGGCTGTCAACCGTAAAGGGCTCTCAATAGACACTGAATCTGCTGGTGCCTTGATGTTAGAGTTCAGCCCCACAGCTGGGAGAGATAAACTTGTTTTCTATAAGCCACTCAGTCTATGGTGGTCTGCTAATGCAGCCCGAACAGACTAAAACACTTTCCTTCCTATATTACTGCCATCAGATCCCTAACTAACAAGACTCCTCACCTCTGGCAACCATACTCTTCATCTCTGGCCACCCCCGATAACTGACTCTATCTATCCTCAAGCCAGAAGTGAATAAAGGAAGTTCCCCAAAGAGGCAGGAGAACAGAATAAAGATAAAAAGTAACATCCCTAGGACACTCTAGGGCAAATAAAAACTGGTACAAGATTTAGGTCTTTTCCATGTCCTGGGATTGCTTGAAATCTCATGAGCCCTAACCCAGTTCTAATGCAATAGGATGAGTGGACTAGGAGATAAGATGTTTGAGTGTTACATCTCACTTTTACTGAGCACCTAATATAGGCCAGTCCTTGGTCAAATATTTTATATATGCTCTCTCATTTTTTCTCACAATGACCCTGTGAGAGAAATACCACTCTCCACTATTTAAGAGATATAGAAGTAGAGACTCAAAGAGAAAAAGTGATTTGTCAAGGTTATTGGCATGGCTAGGTGTCCTTGTCTCGGAGTCAGATGTAGATGTTGCGCTATGTTTCTTCTAAAATCAGAGTTCTAGAGATGCTTAAAGACACTACAATTATTAATGACAATAATTATTTAATGAGTTTCTTCTTTGGATAGCCATTGTGCTAAATTCATTATGTGCACTAGACAATTTAATCTTTATAGCAATCCTATACATTGGGGACTGTTGCCTTCATTAAGAAACAAGAATTCAGCCTCCATGTCACATTTTCTTTTTTAGAAGTCACATTTCTAAAGTAGATTTGAGCTAGGATTGGAATACACTGAAGGCCATGTTTCTAACTTTTTTGCTAGTGATTCTTACTTTCATGGACTCTTAGACTCCTTTGAGAATCTAATAAAGGCTACAGATTCTCACCTCTTAAAAACAAATATTCACACCACAGTTTCTCCCCAGCTGCACATTTGGAGCAGACAATTCTTTGTAATGTGGGCAGTCATATACTTTGTAGAATGTTCCATGTACCCACTGAAGTATATCCATGATTTCCAGGGGTCTAGTGACCTTGTATTTTAGCACCTGTTGTGGTCAATGATGCCTGG